GCACGTGTCACCTAGAGACTAAATAGTTGGAACAGAACAAAGGGACATTGCTAAGATCCTCCCGTCATGACATATAGAAGGGGGCCGGAGAAACAAATAAATAAAAATAAATATGAAGTTATAACTAACTAGGTGAGTCGAACGATTTTATCATATATCGTGTTCAGATTTTCAGTGTATTTGTTTCTCCGGTCCCCTTCTATATGTCATGACGGGAGGATCTTAGCAATGTCCCTTTGTTCTGTTCCAACTATTTAGTCTCTTGGTGACATGACACGTGCGAAGGCGTATATTTCTATGTGCGATGACGATTAGCCTAATTTTATATTTTCCTGTAAGTTCTTCCTTTATAATTTATTATTTTATATTATGACTGAGAAATTTACTCGTAGTTCTTTTTATAATTTATTACCGCTTTATATTTTATAATTTATAGTTTTACAAGTTATTACCGTTTTATATTTTGACTAAGTAATTGATTTGTAGATGCTTCGTTGTCACAAGCAATAGGATCCACTTGAAAAGGACCAGTATTACTGGCCGAAACGTCGTGGTAAAATTTAAAATAAAACTGCCAGCCTTGGTCGATCTAACCCTTTAGTATTTTGTTTTAATTACTGGCGATACAACAATTCTAAATTTGGTTTTCTGTAGTATATTCCTTTAGTATGTTACCATAATTAATTGCTCTATCATATATTAAGATAAGTTTTTGTTAATTGTTCTTGTTAATGAAGATCCATTATAGAATTTCAATTTCACAGGGGAGTCACAATTTCTTGCAGGTGCAGCTAAAAATTTAGTTCCTGTATTAGCAGCTTTGCCATCAAGTAGATCAATGTCCAGTCCGCCATGTTCGCCGAAAGGAGATCAGGATGGTGGTGGATGCCAAAGCTCTGGGTCCACGACCGTATCCGCCACGTCTTCGCCAGGTCTTGACGAGGAACTTGAGCAATCTAGGATTACTATTAATCCCACCATAGAAATGTCACCGAGGAAAAAGCCTCGCAAGCAACAGTTTGCGGGTGTAGAATTAACTGAGCCTAGATGTACGGAGGAAGAGATGCAATTTATCACGGAGGAAAAATTGAAGAAGGATATTAAAGAGGAATCAAAAGAGAAGTTGTCCGACAAGAGGCAACTCTCCAATGTACAAAGTGATATTAAGTCGTCTACTCAGCAAACGGAACTCACAATACGGACACGGCCTGTACCAAGTTTATTAGGTGCGTTTAGTTCTGTTACATTAGGTTGTATTTTCTATACGATTGAGTTTAATTATATTCTAATCACAAATTTGTTTTTAGGCTCTTCTTGGAAAAATAAATGGACAGTTAGATTACACCATTATAGAAGGCCAAGTGATGTTCGACCTCGTGAGGAGAGAAGACCAACAGTTGCCGAATTGGCGCAACAGAAACACGTGTTACAGAAACTGAACGGGTGGAAAATCTATCATCTCACTACGCAAATGGAAGATATTGCGACCCTTGAAAAACAGGTATGCCAACTGTCGTCCAGCTTTTCTTCCAATTTATTTTATGCTCGGTAACATAAATCACATTTGTACGAAATATGTTTGTAGGTTCACGAAAAATTAAAAACGACGCTCATGCTATTGGAATCGCAGCAAACTGTAAAAAGTAAGCACAGTGACGGGCTCGAGCGTGTAAATGAACTGATCAAGGGCAACATGCAGCGCAGTAGTCTAATCAGCGAAGGCATGAACGAAGCACGTACACAGCTCGTCGCTATATTTCAACATAAAGGCCCTATTACTGATCTTTTGCAACGCTGTGGTAATAAACGGGCACAGAAAAAGAGGGACAAATGAGCTGTCGTGCTGAATAAATACGTAGAACCTTTATAAACGAACTTTGTTGGAAGGAAGTTCAAAAGGGAACTATTTTTATCTGTGTCACAGATTCTATACATAGGAATAAATAAATGGTTTTATAAGTCTAAAAGACATGACTATGTCACTATATATAATATGTTTATAATTTTATTATATATAAATCTATAATGTTTTTATTTTAATATAATACTTCTTACTCCTCTAGCCAAATGTCTTTCTTCATTCATTTAATTTCTGCCTCCAATTAATTTATGCGTGTATCTCTGTTTAGAACAGAAGGGAGACTTTACGGAAAGAAGTTTAGAATACATATTTGTTACACAACAAAATAGAATTCAAGAACACATTCTCTTCGCATGTACTTATATATTTATGCAGTTGTCATGGAAATAACAGATGTTGAAGCATGCTTGGTAACAGTGATAGAAATCCTGATAATTGTACGTACATAGACGATTCTATGGAAGTATTTCGTATATTTCGTTAAGTTCAGCAAATCTCGGAACAATATGTGGTGGGGATGTAGTCAACCGCTAGATTTACAAACTGAAGTGACACAAACAGAAGACCGTGTTTCAAGCGTTCTTGAAGTATTGATTGTAGGTTCTGGCGACGCGCGGCACATTGTGAAGACGCTAGCTTCATCTTACACACATCCTGATCAAATTATCACGTATCACGTTATCGAACCGACTTTGGAGCAAGTTGCCAGATCGATACTTTTATTGAGCGTTTGCTTAGAAAAAGATTTAGGTACGTACCTGCGGATATTAATATCAAATCTGTACTGGAAGTCAAAGGGGTTAACACACTCTCTGATTGATATACTGAAGGACTGCAGGAGACGACGCGGTATTACTTGGAGATTTTAGGGAACACCCTTTTGAGACCGGCTACGGCTAAATACTTGGCAAAATGCGCCAAACAACTGATCGATATTCCGACTCGGACCGTCGACTGTCCATGGTTATCGTTAGAAAAATTTAAGCACAAGGATAGAGATAATTTGGAATCCATTTTTAAGTAAGTTAATTGAGGATACACCATAGGAAAGTGATGACTTTGAACAGTGATGGATTTTGGTATTCCGAGATGCAAAACTTCATTTGACGAGATCCTACCGTGCAAAGCTTCAGTAGATATCACTGGTTTCTTAATGTTTTTGCGAGCTCCTGTGTATTTCCGTACTAACTTGTGTTATAAGATTCTGGACGCGTGCTACATGCGAGGGAGTTCCCATCGTGAATTATTGGGATCGCAGAGTCAGGAAGTTGTTAAAAACCAGATATGACTACAGAGAAGGCATTTTTGACTGGGATTATTATATGATCTTAAAGCCCCGATGTACGACTAGTCTTACTATACAAGAATATAGGTACGTTTGTCTGTAATAAGCGTACAATTAAAGCAAATTTTGCAATCGAAACGACGAGCTATTCACTGAGAGAAAAGTCTTTGAAAATTTATTTGTGGCATATAATGTTTATTTCAGTGAAACAAACGTTATATGCCACAAATAAATTTTCAGAGACTGTTTTCTCAGTGTACTACTTGAGGTGAAATGATTATTTCAATCGGCTGCAACAGTACAGTGTGTTATTATAATTGTCAGATTTTGGAGAAATAATGGAGTGGCTTTTACATGGCTCGAAGGTGAAGCAGTCAGAAGCAATCCGACTCTGTTGAATAATATCATTCAATGTGGGCCTGGCTTTCTACATTACGCATACTTGGGAGACATCGTGAACGGTCCTTTCTTCACTTGGGCCGCTGTTGAGAAAGACGGCGACAAGTAATAAAATATATTCTCGTTTCTTCATAGTTAAAGATTCCTAAATTCGTATATATTAAAGGCTTAGGGCAACCGATATTGCCGAACGTGAGACAATGCGTGCGATTCACGAAATAAGAGCGAAAGAGCCGCTGTGCGAGGATTACGTAGGTGCTCACAGGGACGCTTCAATCTTAAATGGCATTATAGTGAGCGAAATGCCGGATATTGAAATGGAAAACGAATCGTGGACAAGCACCGAAGAGAAATCTAAACGGGATAAAAGGATTTCTTGGGTGGAAGTACCAAATCACAAAGTACGTTTTGTATTCCGCTACGAGCCAGTCAACATTTTGTGTATAACAGTTTCATTTTTAGATAATCTTTCATCCTGCAACGTCGCTGGAGTCTCTCAAGTCTAAGTGTGAATACGTGAATAGATTCCATCTGATTTGGGTGGCGCACAATATGACAAAACAATTAGCAAATTTGGCACCGCTGGCATCTACTGGTGCTCCGGTGATTGTGGAGTTGCGTAAAAATATGGCAGAATTTCGCAACGAAGCTTTGAAGAACTTTACCAAAGAATTGAAAGAGATCGCGCAGAAGTGTGGTCTCCGTTCGCTCTACGACTTCGATTCTAATAAACATATTTTTGCTCGGTTCTGCAAGGATTAAGTTATTAAATGTATGTCTAAGTAATTCAATATATCTTAAAAGTTTCATCTTAATTATAAATACACATCGCACATGTGCAATTAAACTAAAATATGAGGTTTAATCGATAAAGTCAAAGTTATATAAAGTATATTATATAAAGTATTATATAAAAAATAAAATGCCCGTTTCAGTTTCTTAGTTGCAAGACACCGTAATGACCGAACATAATAACAACTCGAAGGTCAAAAAGTTTTAAAACAAAGGAAAATGTAAGGATTGTACGAATAAACGTAAACGTTTCGATCTGACGATTTAATTTTATCAGTTAATCTAGCGCTGTACACGTACAAATTTCTACATTTCCAAATCCTCGAATAACGAAATGTCTAAATAGTTTCTTAGAGTTTAACATCTTTAGATCATCGGAATCCCTGGGTCTGTCGTCATTTTGAGCGCAGAAAGTGTAACAATACAAATAACAGCGTGTTAGCGCGCCCGGACCTGTGATAATGTCGTCAGCTCGTGAATTATATACCAAAGATAAGATACGTTAACGCTTCTATTTTTAAAAAATATTTATTTTATGAATAGTTCACACGTACTCGTCCATGATGTTCACATTTTACTCGTGTTTCCAGATTCGTTTTTAAGTAACTTTTGTGTCAGTAGATCTCACACTTTTCTATTTTATTAATTTGTACTGAGAATGATTAATTTTCAGATGTGTCCGTCTAATTTATCATCTTATATGAACGAACGTATATGAAATAGGTAAGAAACAAATCGAAGATATCCTTTCTCATTGCTTTAATCGTGTGTACATATAATTTACATAGTTCGCGTATATTATAAATATATAATATACAAAAAAATAAATAAATAAATATATAAATATATAATATACAATGGGACTAAGAGAGCACTCGCGCATCGTCGCGGATAAAGCCGCGGCCTGACGACGCAGAACACGGCGATCAGAGACGTCGCGAGATAACGCCGTTATCAGCACGCGGAGTGGATTCGTACGAAATACCCGTTCGCCGCTAGGACCTGGCAGTGTGCTCTTATATACGTAAACGCCCCGTTCGTCTCGCTCCACACAACATGTTGATTTTTTTATCTTGTTATTTAATAAACAGCCTTTTGATTTACAAGAACACGAATGCCCCGCTCTCTCTCTCTCTCTCTCTCTCTCGCTCTTTCTCGAGAATGCGACAGACTTTTCCGCCGAGATGCTCGGCACAAGTGCAGTATCCGTATTTAACTATAAACAGTATAAACAGTAAATAAACAGTATCCGTATTTAAATATCTATCGAGCCACGTTACTTATCCTACGACGCCCGCGGTGTGATTCAACAACGCTAAGGAGACTTAGATTGGTGAGATTTTATTTTAGCTTGTGGATCTACATACTAAGTATGTAGTTTTCGGCTCGTTGCTGAGCACCCCCATCATCAATCCGCCGCAGAGCGCGATTCTCGGCATGCAGGGCGTCTTCGACAGACCGATCGCCGTTAAGGGAGAGGTAACTTTCGTCGAAATTCGGCCAATGATGTACGTGGCTCTTACGTACGATCTTCGGCTGATCAACGGACCCGAGGCTGTCATGTTCCTAAGGAAGATCAAAGACGCCGTGGAGGATCCTCGAGTTATCTTGGCTGGCCTTTAATAACTTGGGATACGTTTCATTTAGATTGTGGATCTACATACTTGAAGTATGTAAGCACACACACGCTAAATAAAATCTCACCAATCTAAGTCTCCTTAGCGTTGTTGAATCACACCGCGGGCGTCGTAGGATAAGTAACGTGGCTCGATAGATATTTAAATACGGATACTGTTTATTTACTGTTTATACTGTTTATAGTTAAATACGGATACTGCACTTGTGCCGAGCATCTCGGCGGGAAAGTCTGTCGCATTCAAGGGAGAGGTAACTTTGAAGACGCCCTGCATGCCGAGAATCGCGCTTTGCGGCGGATTGATGATGGGGGTGCTCAGCAACGAGCCGAAAACTACATACTCGGGTCCGTTGATCAGCCGAAGATCGTACGTAAGAGCCACGTACATCATTGGCCGAATAACAACCTGGGGAATTCAGACGTTCGTTAAGCGACGCAATCGCTAGGTTGTCATGTTCCTGAGGAAGATCAAAGACGCCGTGGAGGATCCTCGAGTTATCTTGGCTGGCCTTTAATAACTTGGGATACGTTTCATTTAGCTTGTGGTGATGGGGGTGCTCAGCAACGAGCCGAAAACGCCGCCGTTGCTTATCGTGAAGGTGCCGCCGTCCATGTCCTCGACGGTGATCTTCCCTTTCCTGGCCTTCTCGCCCATGGCGGCCAGCGCGATCTCGATCTCGGCGAAGTTCTTGTTCTCCACCCTGCGAAGAACCGACTCGACGAGCCCCTTCGGCGTCGCGACCGCCACGCTAATGTCTACGTAATCTCTGTATACGATGTCGGTGCTGTCTATCATGGCGTTCACCACGGGCTGGTCTTTCAGAGCGTAGGCACTGGCCGCGACGAAATGGCTCATGAACCCAAGTTTGATACCGTACTTTTTCGTGAACGAGTCCTGGTGCGTCTTTCGGAATTCCATAATGCGACTGCAAATTCATAATAAACGTGAAATGAAAGGCAGAAGAATACGAAGCCGGTATTCAGGTACCACTTTCTCGCTAATAAGCGAGACGATCCCTCAAGTTACCTCATATCAATTTCATTAAACGTAGTCAGCATAGTGCTCGTGTTCAGCGCATCCTTCAAACGTTCCGCGATACGCCGTCGCATCCTATTTGTCTTCACTCGCTGTTCTGTCCTGGTGCCGATTATCTCGCGTGCGTAATCGGTAGGAGGTAGCTGAACCTTCGCGCCTTCCAGCGACTGAAAGCGATGCCGTTCTCGCATAAATGCTCGCGAGTCACGTGACGCAACGGCGTCATGGGCCTTATTTACCTGAGCGTGTTTGAGCGCCGCGCCCGCGGCGAAGGAGTCGCGGCCCGCCGCAGCTGCTCCGGCGCCGGCGAAACCCGCTGCCGCGGCACCGTCGCCACCACCGAGCGCGGCGGCTCCGCCGCCGAGACCCGCGCCGGCGCGTCTATGCCGGTCGCGCCGATGTCGATGCTGCACAGCTTCTGTTCCGGCTTCACCGTGTCGCCGTCCTTAACGAAGAGCTCCTTTCCGACGCCGGACCCGGGCGACGATACGGGAACCGAAGTCTACAGGCAAATTCTCCTCGTAACAATCGCGATTACACCCCTCTCGCTTTACGACCAAGGAGGAAGCGGGGAAACGCCCACGTGATCACGTACACTAGGGGCGCGTTCCGTTTCACGCATGATACGCATGATACATCATTTATCTTTCTTTAACATTTGCCGAATAACAAGGGGTGCGTTCCGTTTCACGCATGATACGCGTGATGCATCGTTTATCCTTCTTTAACATTTGGTGAATAACAAGGATAAATAATGCATCATGCGTGAAACGGAACGTACCTAAGGATAAACG